TTGACTCCAAGTTTTGGGCTATGTGTTTGCGTTGTCTTGTGTTGTTTACCACACCCCCTTGTTCTCCTCGTTAGTCTTGATTGTTCATCGGTGTCACCTGTGCCCTGGTGATGATGTCCCTTATTTAAGGTCCTTGGGTTTGTTACTCGGTGCTTGTTTGTTTTGTATCTTGGCATCCTGTTCTGTGAGCTGTGTATTCCCGTGATCAGAGTTTGTATCCTGCCTGTTAGTTCTAGTCTCATGTTATTGTCAAGTTTATTAGTCTAGTCTTGTCAACGTTCGTTTGCCCCCTCGTGCGTCTTTGTTTTCTGTCTGTTTAATAAATCCGTGTTTTATTTATTACTGTCTGCGTTTGGGTTCATATCCGCATATCGTGACAGAACGAACAAGCCATTTTTTTAACCCAGCAGACAATGTCTTTTCCTGCAAGAGGCCAGTCGGAGGACCACGAAGAATGGTGGCTGAAGCTAACCACTGATATGAAGGGAGGTAGGACTCCCATTTCCTCCCCAGGGAGAGGAGTCCCTGGAGAGATATGTCCAGGGTGTGGATGAGAAGAGGAGATTCATGCCAGAGATCCTCCTAAACTCCTTTTTCATCGCGGGTCTCAATGCACCTCCTCCTGTCCAGCCTCCTGTGTGAACGGGAGGGGCTGATCCGACGCCTGTTCAGTGAAGTGGTGAACCGTGTGTGTCGGGGAGAGAGGCAGGGTCCTACTAGGACAGTGACATCTTCATCATTGCCGGTGGTTCCGGAGGGTCGCGTCCTGGCTGTCGCAGCGCTTGGGGATCATGTTCTCTTCGCCTCGACTCCCAAAGCACCCGCCGTAGCTGGAAGCCTTCGCGGAAAGCGAGGAAGACGGGTGTCGAGGGAGTCTGCATCGGAAGCCGCATCTACTGAGTCCGCATTGCCTGTGGTGGTCCCTCCACTTGTTGTAACGGTACCGATTACAGATCCGGCTATGGTTCCTGCTCCGCGGTCAAGGAGGAGGAGGAAAGCTTCATGTCCTCCGTCTCAGTTTTTTCCGGGACCCGCATCGACTCTCCAGCCCGCTGCGACCAGTCCTGTCCACGTTGAGGTAGATGGGAGAAGGACCGAGTCCAGCATTGTCCCAGCTAAGGAGTCCAGCACTGTCCCAGCTAAGGAGTCCAGGCTTGTCCACGCTGAGGTAGATGGGAAGGTGAACGAGTCCAGCCCTGTCCCAGCTAAGGAGCCCAGTCCGGTCCCAGCTTCAGAACCGTCTGCTACACCGTTTGTCTCAGGGTCTCAGTCATCTGTTTTGTTCCATGTAGTTCCCCTGGTTACCCCTGCTATAGTCTCAGCCTCAGACGTCACGCCCACGGAACGTTGGCTAAACGTCTGATGCATATGGTACACTTAACTGGAAACACTTCAGGAATGTCGAAGTCGTCATCTGATTGGTTGAATTTTATCGGATTTCCGGGGGGTGCGAGTGTCGCGTTTATTTTCGGTCTGCCGGGAAACAAAGCACAGACGTGTGATTGCGGAAGAAAAACTGTTGTGTTTACATGAGTGACTATGAGCATTTATCAAGATCAGCTAAACGTAGGATTCTCAAAAGTATGCGAGGTTCACGGCGTAGACTCTTTAAGAGATGTCCAGGAGTTTTGTTTGAGGCACTTAGTGGAGACAAAAAGAGATATTTTAGCCTGTTTGCCGACGGGATTTGGGAAGAGTATTATTTTCCAAGCCTGGCCGACCCTTTGTCAGCATTTATAAGGATTCCCAGCAGATCCAACTTTACTAGTTGTGTGTCCCCTCCTATCTATTACATAGCTGTCAACCATCCCGTTTTTTCCGGGTTTCTCACGTATTTTAGCTCTTTTCCCGCTGTCTTCCCGTTTTATTATTTTCCCGTAAAATATCCCGTATTTTTACGCTCTGATTGTGTGAGACGTACATGCTCGGGCAGATTCGGCTTGAAGTCGTTCATCCTCGGATGCGGCGCCGCGCGCGCTGTTACAAAAAAAGCTGTGCACACAGCCAAGCGAAATGGGGTCTTGCCGGTCTTGCGCACCCAACGCGTAATCTTTGCCGCGTTTGTGCGGACGCGTCAAGTATAAACAATTCCGTGTCAGCGCGCGCTTTGATCGGTAAAGGAGCACAGACCTCTCCCTAATCATCTCCAGCAGCCCCCGAAGCACCACGTACCGTTTCCCTCGTAAGCTGATATTGGTATTTAAACATTCTCTGATAAAAAATGTTTAAAAAATGACACACTTTCTCTAATACACACACACACTGTCTCTTTCTCTCTCACTCATTTGTAGTTATAAACTCTTTAGTCTTTTAATGATTAGTGCTTTATTTTTAAAGTTTGTGGTGGGTAAGAATCGTGTAAAAAAATTCCCTTATTTTGGGGATGGATTCCGGGAAATCTCCCTTAAATTCAATGTTCAATGTTGACAGCTATGATCTATTATGGAAGATCAAGTGAAATACCTAACTGTGAAGGGGATATCAGCCGCGTTTGCGGGCAAACATGAAACAACAGACGCTGACATCGCAGCTGGCCGATTCAGTATTGTGTTCGGTTTTCTTCTCCTTCTTTGATTTTCTATGCTGACTGACTTGTTGCACGCCGGTCTGTTGTTGTGGGGACATTTCCACGTGACGCTGAACGAAACGAACTGTAATTGGTTGTTTGACATGTCGGTCAAACGGCCTTATGGGCGGGCCTTGGCCAAAGAAAGCTGCTATGAGTTCCAGACCTTCAGCCGTCAGTCTGAAGGTCTGGCTACGCGAGACTACCCCTGCTACTGTGTTACCCCGATCTGTCCTCCCCAAGACTGTACCTTATGTGTCTCCACCCAGACCTGTTCGGTTTCCTTGCCCTCAACCCTCGCCCATGTCCAGTGAGTCTAGGACTGTTGCTTCACCGATCCACTCTGGACCCCTGCCGATGAACTCTTTTGTCCCCCCCCTCCCTCCCTCACTCACTCCCTCCTCCCTCCTCCCTCCTCCCTTGTGTTATTTTTGAGTCACCCCAATCCTGTTATTATGTACTCTTGTTTGCCATTGTTGTTAGTAGTTTTGTTGGTTTGTGTCTGAGTTACAGTCTGTTATGTCTCAAGTAAGAGGGGGGTTATGTCAGGATTTGATCTCATGTTGTGTGTGCAAACATGGCCTGTGTTTTGCGCTATGTGTTTACGTTGTCTTGTGGTGTTTACCACGCCCCCTTGTTCTCCTCGTTAGTCTTGATTGTTCATCGGTGTCACCTGTGCCCTGGTGATGATGTCCCTTATTTAAAGGTGCTCTAAGCGATGTCACATGTTTTTTAGGCCAAAACATTTTTTGTCACATACTGCAAACATCTCCTTACTATCCGCTGGCTGCCTGTCCCCTGAACACACTGTAAAGAAACGCGATCTCTGTAGACAGCCCAGGCTCCACAAACAGCAACAAAAACAAACTGCGGCGACCCGCTCCCCGAAACATAACAAACTGTTCCAGCCAATGACCGACAAGAAGGGTTTGGGGGTGTGGTTTGGGGGGCTAGTGTGCGGATGAGGAGGAGGGAGGGTCTAGCTAGCCTCCGTTTTGTTTGACAATAGTTTGAACGTCAACAAGAAGTGACGTCACCCAGGATCGCTTAGAGAACCTTTAAGGTCCTTGGGTTTGTTACTCGGTGCTTGTTCTTGGCATCCTGTTCTGTGAGCTGTGTATTCCTGTGATCAGAGTTTGTATCCTGCCTGTTAGTTCTAGTCATGTTATTGTCAAGTTTAGTCTTGTCAACGTTCGTTTGCCCCCTCGTGGGTCTTTGTTTTCTGTCTGTTTAATAAATCCGTGTTTTACTACTGTCTGCGTTTGGTTTCATATCCGCATATCGTGACACAACTACGCATTATGCTTAAGAAATTTGTAACAATATTTGAAAGGGTGAAGATGTCCATTTTCCTTGGCTGGACATCACTTTTGGCCACTACTGTATATATGCATTTGTGTATGTGCTATGTATTCCTTGTACTGCATCTTGCAAAATATGGGCTGTGTGGATATGGACAACAACTAGAGCACGTAATTAATTCATAGCAGTCCTAAAATAAAGTCTATTGCCCTATATACAAACATCCTCATCATTCTGCAAACTTTATTTTATTTTATTTAGTATCTGCCATTTTGCAGTTTATTGGAGAATCAAAGAAGCTGATCAGAGATAAAATGAGGGGCTATTATGATAGGATACCTGTATATAACATTATTATATAATAATAATAATGATTGCTTTATTTTGTTAACACTGTCAACATGAATTACATAATTGGACTGTAAAAAGAACACCAATTAAATTAGCTAAAAAGTTCGATTGTGAGATTAGATCGTGAAGAGGCTATTTTAAACATCCAATCTTGGAAATCCATAAAAGCTGTGGTCAGTAGTGAAATGCAATTACATGTTTTTTTCTTTCTAAGCATAAACGCTGATTTTGGAAGCACTTCTGCCTAATGGCCAGAACTCATGCTTTCTCACACACCTTTCTCCAACCCTGTCTCCAAATGTCTCATGGCTAAGGAAGGCTTATAGTTGCAAATATACAGGCAACATCCATGTATGAAAAATTGCACTAATGCCTCTAAAATCTAGAACAAGTGTAAAAATGGGTTATGCACACAGCTGCTAGAGCAGCACTAGCACTGGCATGGTTTTAAGTCAGTACATCTGGTTTTCACTATGAGCTGTTTTTAGTGGGAACATACACTTAAGAGTCATCATTAGATTAAAAACTGAGTTTGTATTCACATTATTTAATATGACTTTTTATTGACTCATAAAATCAGTTTTAAACATAGCAGCATGACTTATTTTATTATTTTATCATTTGAATTGCTTATTTATACTTCAGATTTAAAAAGAAAATGTAATATTACATGGTCTCTCCATGTTATATTTGTATGCTAGAAATGCACTTTAATATAGTAGTCGTTTGCATACAAAAACAAAATTTGACTCAATGAATGCCGCCTCATCTTTCTTTTTAGGGACTTTCTGCCCCGTGGCTCTGGTATTGTCACTCGGCGCCCCCTAGTGCTGCAGCTGGTCAACTGCCCTACTGGTAAAAATCCTAGAAGAACACTAAAAAAAACTCTCTAGCAGGGGTTCTCAACTCTGGCTCTCAGGGTCCACTTTCCTACAGAGTTTAGCTCCAAGCTTGATCAAACTCACCTCTGCCTATCCCCGTGTTTGAAATCGACCCCTATACTCTCATTCAATATTCCCTGAGTATCCCACTGAGTGCGCTGGAAGGGCTGCCACTTTTTCATAGTTTGTGCTCGCTGTAATTATTTGAAACAGGGCAAACTGGTAGCTCCAGTAGTAATGAAAATATTATCTTTATATCTGTCATGGAAAGTAGCATGTTTAAACCTTAAAGGAATACTTTTCTTAAAAATTTAAATTCTGTCATCATTTACTCACCCTCAAGTTGTTTCAAACCTGTATGAATTTCTGCTGAACACAGAAGAAGATATTTTGAAAAATGTCAGTAACGGACCCCATTGACTTCCATAGTAGAAAAAAAAATACTATGGAAGTCAATGGGGTCCATCAACTGTACCGACTTTCTTCAAAATATCTTCTTTTGTATTCAGCAGAAGAAAGAAATTCATACAGGTTTAAAACAACTTGAGAGTGAATAAATGATGACAGAATTTTTATTTTTAAGTGAACTATTCCTTTGAGGCTACAGTCCGTACATTTTTGTTGCTCAAGTAAGCGTGTACATCATGAATCCATTTACCAAACCGTCTTATCTTGAATCACTATGGTACACCTATAATAAGTGTTTATATTCAGACTATTTTAGATTGGTTCGGGTCATACCGCTGCGGAGGAGCACAGTACCTGCGTGACTTGTCGTAGACATAAACAGAGAGAAGTAGCTCTGGCTACAATGTTCTTCAGCAAAATGCATGCAGTTCTGTTTATTAACCGCTAGAGCGCCAAACTGCTGCTTTATTTAAACAACTTAATAATCAAGTAAAAAGGAATTATTTATACCTGTATGATATTACGCTGTAGCCACATTGGACCAGCGGTTTGGGAAAATGGATGATTCAGCTGCGGGCGCCATCTCAACCCGATCTCACGACCAATTCGTCCGAATTTGACGAGTGATTAAAAGATGGCTAATTCGTAACAATTCGTACGACCTCACTCGTACGAATTAGTACGATTTTTGCTAAAACGTACATATTTGACGAGTTGCCCAATTCGTATGAATTCGTACGAATGACCTACCCCTGACCCCGGCCCTAAACCTACCCATCACGTGGGTTTAGACAAATCGTACAAATTCGTACGAATGAGGTCGTACGAATTCGTACGAATTAGCCATCTTTTAATCACTCGTCAAATTCGGACGAATTGGTCATGAGATAGCGTTGGCCATCTTCTGGTCAGAGGTGGGAATTCATTCGGCGTGACCGTCACAGTGCATTGTGGGTATTCTATAGCCATTGAGGGTACATCAGTTGTACACATTGTTGTACACTTGTTATTGCGGTGGATTGTGGATTTGAATAAGTGCACTCAGTAACGTCCACTATGTTTTCGGGCAGCACTACAAATGGCTGTCCCCTCAAATAGTGCCTTATTTAAGGGTATAGGTGGCAATTTCGGACACAGCCTATAACTTTCTATTAATCCTGAAGAAGACCTTGGTGTGTTTGATTAGGGTTGGAGCTAAACTCTGCAGGAAAGTGATCCTTGAGAGCCAGAGTTGAGAAACCCTTGCTCTAGTTTTAAATGCATGTTTTTAAGGCAAAGCTAATATGGAATGCAAAGCTAATATTAAAATGCCTTTCCTAATTGCTTATTTCCAGAACATGCCGAGTTTTTGCATTGCAAGGGAAAGAAGTTTACTGATTTTGATGAGGTTCGTCAGGAGATTGAGGCAGAGACAGATCGCATCACCGGCCAAAACAAAGGCATTTCACCGGTCCCTATCAATCTGCGTGTCTATTCACCTCATGGTACCTTCATTCATGCACATACAGAGAAGTTATTTTAACATGATCAGATCTACATATTCTGTTACATATAAGCATGCATTGTGAAATGTCACATGAAATCATGTCACCCCTTCTCTTCACCAGTCCTGAATCTCACCCTCGTGGACTTGCCTGGTATGACCAAAGTGCCTGTAGGTGACCAGCCGGCTGACATCGAGTTCCAGATCAGGGAGATGCTAATGCAGTTTGTGACTAAGGATAACTGCTTGTTGCTTGCTGTGTCTCCTGCAAACTCTGACCTGGCCAACTCAGATGCCCTCAAGATTGCCAAGGAGGTTGACCCTCAGGGTGGGTTATCATCCAGCAGTGACTGAAACTTGTTCTAAAATAATTGCAAAATTTCAGACATATCTTGATGTGATATTTTTAAAGTTATTTTCTTTTAAAACTGTTCCTGATCACGTGTGTGTGTGTGTGTGTGTGTGTTTCTGAACAGGTATGAGAACTATAGGTGTGATCACTAAATTGGATCTAATGGATGAAGGAACTGATGCACGTGATATCCTGGAAAACAAGCTTCTTCCTTTACGGAGAGGTGAAGTCAGTGTACAATACTCTTTCCACATAAATATAGCCTCTCAGGAACATTTAAAAAGTCTCATTGGAGAGACTTACACTGCAATAAGTATAATTCTTTAAATTTGACACAAATTAAAATCCATCCATTTAAGAAGATTATTACAAATATGGTAACACTACAATGTCTCATTTGTTAACATTAGTTAATGTATTAACTAACATGAACTAACAATGAGCAAAACATTTGTTACAGTATTTATACATTTTTGTTAATTTTAGTTCATGTAGTTCACAGTGCATTAACTAATGTAAACAAATACAACTTTTGATTTTAATAATGTATTAGTAAACTCAGAAATTAACATTAACTAAGATTAATAAATGCTGTAGAAGTATTGTTCATTCTTATTTCATAGTAACTAAAGTAGTTAACTAATGTTAAAGCTCCAGTCCGTAACTTTTCCTCTTTGTCGCCATCTGTCTGTTCGAAATCTGTAACTGCAGTGATTCGCGGAATTATTATCTTTACGTGGGTTGTAAATCGGCATGAAACAGCGCGGATGAACACAGTGCTTTGAGGCGAGTGCTGCTGTCAGTCACCGCGCTGTGTGGATATTGTCATACAGAATCACAGATTCACTTTTTGAAAGTTTGACCAACATAAGAATTTTCATAAGAAAATGTCTTCTGAACAAGTAAGTAACATCCATTTTTGTTCTGACCAACTAAGGGGGAAAAAGCATTCGACATGATAAGCTTCGTTAGATTTAATCAACGCGATTTACAGCAACCGTGCAAATTATAGCCTACTTTGTTCTCAAATTCATGTTAACAACATCACATCAGCATTGCGTGACTAATGTTAAATTTAATGTGTTTTATGGTTACCTGTGTAGTTCAGAATTCATATTCTCCATAATAGCAAAACGAGAAAGGCACAACAAAGGAAACTCCATAACTGTGTGAATTAAGAAAATGTACTGTTACACGATTGAACTATTGAAATGTCTTAACTTACTTGTTCAGCAGAAAAAAGCCGTCTCTTCTTCCGTTTTGAACCCCTTCAAAACACGGAGTTCACGCACTTTTCAAAAGCCCCGCCGATGTTTAAATCCTTGTGTTCGCATGAGACGGTTTCTTTCTCTTTCTCTAGCCACCTTAAATCCGAAGTACGAAGTCTTTTGGGTTTTATAACTGCTGAATCTCCAGTTGACACTGATGATTGTTGTTTGGATCTTTCTGGATGCCATAAGTTTAATTATGTAAAGTGCTGCGAGAAAAGCCTATATATCTAAACATCTCGTCACGCGCAGTATAGCCGGCTATAGCCGAAACTCCTTCTTTATGTGTACGGGTGTGACGTCATGACGCAAAGACATGCTCGAATTTCCCGCGGAAACCCACCAGTACCACTGGAATTAAAATCATTATTACAAGCTAACCGTTTTGAATCTAGCTATGGCAAGCAGATAGTTTTGACCACTGGCAGAATAAGTTTTTTTTAATATAATTATTTTGGATTATTTTTAACTTAAAAAAGTTACGGACTGGAGCTTTAACTAATGAAACCTTATTATAAAGTGTTACCATGACTTTAGTAAACAACAATAAATACATGGAAATTCATTGGTCAGAAGAAGTTAAATTGCACGTCTATTTATATCTTTTTAAAGCAGTGGATCTCAACCAGGGGGCCAGAATATTCAAAATAATAGCCCTAAGAACATCAGGATGTAAACTGCAATAATATACACCCCTATCCCCCCCTCCTCCTCCACACACACACACACGCCATTTGTACTTTTGAAGTTGTTGATGTGATTTAAAAAAAATATTAATTGAAAATTTTCCAACTTTAGCAGAAAGCACAACAAAAATTTCAACCACAATTCAGAAAAAAAAACGTCGGCAGAAGTAAAAAGGTAATCAAGGTAAATACAAAAATGTAAATATAAGGTAATCAAGTAAAAACAATGAAATAAAAACACTAAATATATAACTGCAGTACATTACAATTTCAAAACCATTATGAACTCACTTGAGGCACATGAATGGGAAAACCCTTGTTAAATAGTTAACAATTCAGTCCCTAGATTGTTGATACAGGGCTTCCAGATACTATGAAACTGGTCTGGCTGACAATTAACTAGACAGGTTAAATATTCCAGCGGAATTAGTTCCTTCAAAATTTCTTGCCAATCCGATATAGTCTTGTCACTTATTCACCTCAGTGATATGTTTCTCTTAGCTGCAAAGGTAAGAAGATTATTCAGTCTTTTTCTTTTGATAAAATCAAAGCTTATTCAGGCAGACCAAGGATCAAAAATAAAGGATCAAATACCAACTCCTTATTAAAGATATTACTCATTTCAGAATGTCATGATTCTGCCCTCGTGTCCTTGAGTTTCTTTAGTCTTGAGGCAGGATCATGACAGACCCGTGTTTTGTGTGCAAGCACATGGCCTTGTGTTTGGGCCATGTGCGTGCATTTTCTCGTCACCTAACCCCGCCCCCTTGTTTAGTCATCATTAATTAATCTGTGTCACCTGTTATGTTATCATTAGTCTCCCTATATCATCCCCTTGTGTTTGCTGTCCTGTGTTGGTTCATTGTGAAACCTGCTGTGATTCTTACCTGCGTGTTACTTTACCTTGTTAAGCCTTGTGAGTATCCTGTGTATAGTCTAGAGAGAGAGAGTTCTGATTCTTTATTCGATGTTTGTTTTTTGTCAAGTCATAGTCTAGTTCTGTCTCTCCTCATCCTGTCTTGTTTTGTTTTCCTGTTTTTGTACCAATAAACCTTGTGTTCATCGTACACTGTCTGCATTTGGGTTCATCTCCTTGCATCCACATAACAGAATGAACCGACCACCAAAGAACCCAGCAGACAGTATGTCCTCTTTTGTTGAGCATAACCCGGATGACCTTGCACAATGGTGGCTGAGGACTATTTCTGATGAGAGCGTTCTGATTCTATATTCGATGTTTGTTTTTCGTATATCGTCAAGTCATAGTCTAGTTCTGTCTCTCCTCATCCTGTCTTGTTTTGCCCCCTCGTGGGTTTTGTTTTCCTGTTTTTGTACCAATAAACCTTGTGTTCATCGTATACTGTCTGCATTTGGGTTCATCTCCTTGCATCCACATAACACAGAAACTATCTTGGCCCAATATATTTGAAGCCTAACTAATTACAGTGAGAGTGTACCAATTTGGGTTCTCTTACGAGAGTATCTCTCGTACTGCGTAATAGCTTTACGCTAGGGGAAAAACTTTTTTCCACGAGATATTGAAGCCAAAAATTATCCTTAATTTTTTATTAATGTAAAACGCTTTGCAGCAGCAAGCAGACATAGGCGAAACAGCTCGCGCGCCTATTGGTTGCTCTTGCGGCAAATGCAGCAGCCTATCGAGAGAGACTCTGCGTGACGTAATGACCAATGGGGGCAATTCGCGCCCATATCGTCACGTCCCGCCAGAAAGGGCGTGGTCTCACCCTATAAATATGCTCGTTAGGCTGGTACAAGCTGATTTTTATCTCTTCAGCGACGCACACGCATCGCTGGATCCGGAGTGAGAAGCCGCGCCGTCGAAGCAAGCCTTTCAGCGGGACGAGCTCTGGAGTCGCTGGCCTCGCCGCCTTCAACTGCCGTACCTGCTGCGCTTTCCGGCGTTCTATATCCTTTTTATACTCTGTGTATCTTTACTCTGCTGAGAGTGTTTGCTCGCTTACTTGACGCGACTCACACTTCTCTTCACAAAAGAGCTGCGTCTTTTTAAAGATGCCATCCTGTGGCTCGTGCCGCGCCCCGCTCAGCGACGGAGACCGGCACGTCATCTGTGTTTCCTGTCTGGGTGAGGATCACGCGGCTCTCGCGCTCGCTGACGGCGGATGCCCTCATTGCGAGCTTTTGCCTATGGTGACTCTGAGGACTCGCCTGGCATCATTCTCCGAGCCTTCACCACAGCCCGCCGTGGTGCCGCGCCGCAAGAAGCGCCGCGCCCAGCGCGCTCCCGAGCTTTCTCCAACCCGCCAAAGCTCGCCGGTTCGCCCGCCAGCTTCGCCGGCTTCGCTCGAGTTGCTCACTGACAGACAACGGCCGCCGCCTGCCGCCGCGTCCGTCCACGAGTTCGACGAACCGACCGAGGCGTGTTCTCTTCTGGCATCCGATAGCGAGGATTGGGCGAGCTCCGTGGACCTCCCCTTGCGTCACCGGCAAATGAGAAAAGAGTGTGTTTTAGTCCCCGCCGAGGCTGGACTAATCTCCATTTCTCAAACATTTCTCAGCTCCTAGTTTGAGCGGCTGAAAGTGTCATTATTGCAGCAATGAGCCTGTTGTATAACACGCACACCTGCATACAAACGCCGACACACACAAAACTGTGATGACGCTCTCTTATCTGCTTGCGCTAGTGTAGTTCTCCCTGTGGCCCAGTGGCAGAACCCGAAGCTTTCACGCGAGAGACCCGTGTTCGATCCCGGCTCTCGCAGCAGATAAAAATTTAGTCTCGCCGCAGCCAGACTTCCACCGAAACTTTTCGCTCGTTCAGTTCCAGAAAATGCGACTGTTCCAGTGTATTTTGCAGTAAACAAGCTGGTACCACGGCCCGCTTGCCTGCACATAAAGGCCGTTTCCATGGCGACCCAGAAAAATCATGTAATCATTGTATTTCTGGTTTTCCGGCCACAGCCGATGGTGTTATAAGTGTAATAAAATGCTCACAGCCCAGTGTTCATTTCTACACACAAACACAGCCCGCCACGGTACAGGGCTCGCACAAATGAAATCGACGCATGTCAATTGTGCATTAAATGTAGTGAATGTGCCCACAACCCAGTGCCCACAAACACTACCACGGTTTCTGTAAAACGAAACCAACACAAGTCTTCCTAGCCTCCTAGGAAATCGACGGTGTTTCAGTCTCGCCGTGGCCAGACTTCCACTGAAATTTTCGCTCGTTCAGTTCCAGAAAATGTGACTGTTCCAGTGTATTTTGCAGTAAGCAAGCCAGTACCATG